TCGTAGATTTTTTTTAATTTTGCTGTCGGATCTATGGTTTTGTTTTAATGATCTCTACAATTTTCCAGTTTGCGCCAGGTGTTTCCGACCTCAATCAGTTATTGTTTTTTTGTTCGTTCGTTCGTTTGTGTGTTAAGTGGTTTTATTGTTTTTGTTTTTATATAGATAGTCTATTGCTTTATTGAATATGCGAAAATGTATTTTAAAAAAATAGCAATAAAAAAATTGAACTGTTTTTTAGGATGAACAACCATTCGGTAGCAAGGAATTTGTAGATAATTTCAAAAGCAATGCCAAATGAAGATAAGTTGATAATAATGCAGTGTGTCAAGAGAGCTGGCCAAGTTATATTATCTACAATAAATATAAAATATAAATAACAAAGTATTATCATGTTTTAATTATACATTAAATAGTTATTTTTATCAATTTCTTTGCAAAAAAAAGTTGGACAAATGAAATGTTGGTCACAGACCCACATTTCTTGAGATGTGACCATCAAATTAAGATTACCATTACATTACATTTACTAGCAAAAACAAATATGTTCTCTATAGTACGTTTTTCAAAACTACCTCTATATCTCAACCCTACACACCAATTCTGACCGCAATTTCTATACTACATTTAGTGTAATTTTGTATCCTTCGTACTCTTGTAATACTTATTTTGAAAAAAAAAATAGCTTCACCCAATTCAAATTAGTACACATTAAAATAAATTTCTACAACTACCTACATTAACAATCATAAGTACGAATTTTCAACACTTCATTCAATTTTAATTCAAAATTTCAGGATGATTCACCTAAATCCAATTTGTATCACATTTAGTTCAATTTGGAACACATACGTACAAATTTCCATGATGCAATCCAACGGAAATCTTATTACTCAATTTCAGGATTCCAGCTCCATCGGTTCACTCTTAATCCCAAATGTACCAAATTTTGTATCATTTAGTCATTAGTAGACATTTCCAAAAACTTCCTACACACACTAATCCAACACACCAACATTGATCAAAACCGCCATTTAGTACACATTACTACGAATTTCCACAACTTTCTACATGATACAAGCCTACACTCCAACAGTGGTTATAAATTCAAATTTAAAGATTCTAGCTCTATCGGTTCAATCAAATCCAAATTTGGTCACATTTAGTACACGTTAGTACGAATGTCCAAAACTTCCTACATATCCCAATCCTACAAAACAACAATGATCTTAACTCCAAATTTAATCAGTTCACCAAAAATTCAAATTGTACCAAATTTAGTACCTATAAGAATGAATTTCCAAAACCACATCCATACCCCAATATTACATTCCAACAGTAACCTCATTAGCAAGTTTCAGTGTTCTAGCTCTCTCGGTTCACCCAAAACGTTCTACAAAGCCCAATACTACACCCCAACAGTGATCCTAACATCAAATTTTAAGATTCCAGCTCTATCAGTTCACCAAAATCTCAATTTTCTACAATTTAGTATGAATTTCCAAAACTTTCTACATAACCCAAACCTACATCCCAACAATAATCCTAGCTCCAAATTTCAGGGTCCCAACTCTATCAGTTCACCCAGTTCACATCAGTTCAAATATAGTACAATTTAGTAACCACAGGTATGAATTTCCAAAACTACTTGGACACCCCAATCCTAAACTTTTTTTCAAATTTCAGTGTTCAGTGGGTGAACCGATAGAGCTGGGTTCACCCAAATCCTCATTTTATACACATCAGTACAGAATTTAAATTGTACCAAATTTAGTACACACAATTTTCTACCAAGCCCAATCCTACACAACACTACAGTGATCTTAACATCAAATTTCAAGATTCCAGCCAAATCCACATTTGGTACCATTTAGTACAAATTTCCAAAACTTCCTACATCGGGTCTCCCAATATTTAAATTGTACAAAATTTACTTCCCATTTCCAAAAAATCCTAAATAGTCCAATACTACCCACAGTGATCCTAACTCCAAATGTCATGATTCCAGCTCAATCAAAAAATTAGTACGAATTTTCCAAATTCCCTACATACCAAAATCGTACACCCCAACAATGATAATAATTACAAATTTCAGGATCCCAGTTCTATTGGTTCAACCAAATCCAAATTATAGTACCAATTATAGTACGATTTAGTACTTTTCGTACACATAAGTAAACAATTTCCAAAACTACGTAAATATTCCAACCGTACACTCTGGCCGTTAATTTCAAATTTTAGGATTCCAGCTCCATTTGGACCTCCAATTAAAAATTGTACCAAATATAGTACTTCTCGTATAGATGAGTACATGATTTCAAAACCACCTTCTTATATCGCCCTACTTCTCAACTTTAATTCGCATTCCAAATTTCAAATTTCATGCTACGAAGCTGTACAAAAATTAGTACAATTTAGTACTTTTCGGAAACTTATAGTTTGAATGTCCAAAAAACCCTTTGCTACATCTATCCTACACTCCATTAATGACCCTCAATTCAAATTTCAGAGTTCTAGACAAATACAAAAGGCACCACGTTTAGTACTTTTCGTGCCGTTATAGTACGAAAACCAGCCTTTTCTGACCCCTTTGAACCAAGAGTGACCCTCACCCAAAATTTCAAATTTCTAGCTCAAACCGTTTCATCTGGGCGTTGATGAATTGTTAAGTCAGTCACTTTACTCTTTTATTAGTATAGATTACTCATTAAAAAATTTTGTTAGATTCCATAATACGGGCCAAAATATTAGTATGCTTGCCGAGCATATATGAGTCTATATATAGAGGGCGCATTTGTGATCTCGCTATCAAATGCTGTTTAGAATAGGAAGAAAGGGATCAATTCGACGAGGCATTTAAGTCCCCAATATGCCTTATTAATTTCTGTTATTCCTTTATATTCCAGAGCATCTACTGGGTCGTATCCTGCATAACAGCATAATCGATGTATAAAATTGGGTTTGGACGTTGAATCCAATGAAGAAATTCAAGATTATGCCGGTTTTGTAAGTATAGAAAATTAAAAAAAATGTTAGAGCAGCATTCCTAATATTTTATTTCATTTTCAGTGAACGATAATGAGGCCGTTGTGGATTATGATATGGCTTTTATCACAAACAACATATTTTTTTGAGGACCAGTAATTGCGTTGGAAACACTTCGGATACAACTACTCCATTGTAAATGACACATTGCAGGATTTCAATTGACGTTACAAGGCCTTCAAATTCGATGGTTGTCAATCAATTGAATTGAAAATGTTGAGCAAAATGTTTTTTTTTCTTTGAAAAATAAAATATTTCTGATAGAAATGCATTAATAGTACTTTATTGTTGCCGAAGAAAGAAGAGCTTTTGTCCTTGTACAAAAGGATGTTAAAATATTTGTAATTAAATTACAAAATTCCTCTGAAAAACATAATCATACCAAAATCTTTGATATTTTCCTAATAGTTGCACAGAAATTATGCTTCCTTGTTGCACATATAAAAACTACATTTTTTTATCTTATCCCTGGCGAAATTTTCATGAAAATCCATCCAGCAGTTGCTGAGATATAGTCATTTGAAATTTAGCTTGTATCAAAATATAGGTGCTACACGATTCTGTTCGCCTATTAACACAAAAAATGTTTACATCGATATTTTACATTTTCCATTTTGTGCAATTTGCTAGTTAGTAATGTTGCCATATCGAATTAATGTTCCTATGTGGTTTCATAAAATAACATAACCTCATAGCATACTTCTAGGCGTTAATTAGTAATGACATTCTTTTGATATTCTGCTTTTAATTTTACCGCCCTAAGTTATGCTTTGGAATTTATTAAACTACACTAAGGGACTATGTTTGCGTGATCTGGCAACATTTTTAGCAAATTACACGATTTGGAAAATGTAAAAATCGCAAATTGTGGTAACAGGCGAACAGAATTGTGTAGCAGCTATATTTTGATACAAACTAAATTTTAAATGGCTATATCTCAGCAACGGCTGGATGGATTTTCATGAAAATTTCATCATTGAAAAGCTAAACATGTGTAGTTTTTATATTAATTACTTTCAACGACTGCCTATAAGAAAAAATCTTAAATTTTGAAAAGATTACGTTTTTATAGGAGAAAAACACCAAAATTTGCCCAATTTTTCCAATGAAACACCTTGTTATTTTTTTATTGGATTTTTATTTGAAAATGTTTCTTTATTTTTTTGGTTTGTTGTGTTGTTGTTTTTCTTATAATATATTTTTTATAAATTAAAAAGAGTTTAAAGTTACAATATGATTATTTTGTTTTTTTTTTTTCTTGTGATTTTTTTTGTGATAGCTTTTGAGAGTTTTTCGCTTTTTTTCGTGTTTTTCTTTTGTGTTTGAGTTTTGCTTTCGTTTTTTCTTTCAATCTTTACATACAATTAAATAATAAAAATATTTGTTGTTTAATTTTAATACAAGAGTTATGCCATCATTATACGAGTCATATGATGGTAGATGAGAAGTAGGAGGAGCAGGAGAATAGGGGGGGATGGAGATGGTGTAATGTGTCTAAACATGTTGATGAGTTATTTAATTTTTTTATGTGTTTTTTTTTGCCAGTTCTTTTTCATTTATGATTCATTCTTCTGTTCTGTAATGCTATTCGATTTTTTTGCTGTTTATTTTGTTCGATTTCTTTTCGAGTTTTCTTTTGTAGTTATTTTTTATTATTATTTAATATTCTGTCTATAAACTATTCGTTTAACATACACACACGCACATTTATAAATAGGAATGAAATAAAATACAATACAAAAAATATATTTAGAAATAGATAAAAAGTCCTTTAAAGTCCTTTGTTTTGCCTAATCGCTACGATTCGCACGATGATTTGTTGAGAAAAAGTTTTAAACAAAAAGTTATTCGTTTTTATATAAATTTAAATTATAGATTCAGTTAAAGTAGCAGAAGTCATAGAAGTAGTGGTAGAAGTCGTAATTGTAGAATGGAAGCTTAAAAATACAAAAATATTTATTTTAAAACCTAAAATCAATCTATTTACAAAAGTATCGGTCCTCGTAGCGTTGACAATAATCACAAATCAATTGGCAGCAGCGTCCATTGTTGAAGCGGCAACGACATTTCTCCACCTGTTTGAAGACGCGCGTTACATAGCCACGCCCACAGCAAAGATTCGCACAATTGTCTTGATTCAGACACTGGCGATCCTTGGTGACGGAACAATATGTGGGTGATGTCTCCAAATAGTATAAGGTGGTATATTGCGATTGTTGCTGCAAAGAAATGGGAAAGAAAAAAAAATATATTAAAATTGGAAAGAAAACAAGAGATCAACATTTTATTAACAAGTGAAAAATTCGTTTAATTCGATCGGAAATAACTTTTTATACCATGAATGAGGAGGGTTGTCTGAAACGGATTTGGATTTCTAAAGAAACATGTGGTCTAAAACCAAAATTTCGATGTGGTATAGCAATAAGGCTGAGAGTACAAGAACAGGATACGTCATTCTAGACACTATTCAATAGGCTATGTAACATTTAGTGTAAATCGAACAAAGTGTCTACTTTGTACCACCGCATAATTTCATATTAATATTCAAATAATTGTGAAGTTTTATTTATTTCACAAGAAAGTGTACGATTATACCTTTCATATGACACCACTTTCATTTTAATACCAGCAATACGAGAAATGTTATAGCAAAAATAAATGAGGTATGCAATTTTTATAAACCCGTCGTCAGCGCCATCTATTGATGGACATGATTTCAATCAATTTTTTAAGTTCAACCTGATGTCATATGAAAGAGTAAATAACCTACTTTACTATAACTAGCAAAAAATTCATATAACACAAATTTTACCGAGGGAAATTATATAAAACTTTAATATAAATTTTATAATTAAAAATAATTCAATTGTTGCTATTTCCTTTATAGTAGGTCAAAAGTTTTAGAAAAAACATGAGGCTTACATTTGCATAATAGATTTTTTTAATCTACCCATTCACAGATGGCGCTGACGACAAATATTTGCTAGTGCTGCCAAATTTGGTAATTTAGATTCTTTGTAAGTTTTGAATGATACAGAAATAATTCGAATGGATATTAATAATTTAGGACATACACTATCCAACAGTATTAAAAATTGTTTGTCAGAGTTGCCATGTTAAAAGAAAATTACAGTTTTCTGGGATTCGTAATAACTTTGGAACGCTTAACGATACATAGACAAATCAAACGGACACTTGTAGCTCACAAAATGTTGTTTGTAAACGGGTTTAAGATATTTGACCGGAGTTGCCAATGCAATAGAAAAGTGAAATCCACTTTCAAAACTTAATTCTATATCCAATGACATAGAATTTTATAAATGATTTTTGCATCCACCCAATCAATAGGAAGTGTTCTGTTTATTGAGAATCCGATCAGATAACCCTTAAAATCTTTGGTGATCACACTAATAACTCTTTAAAATCCTGGTTTTTTATTATTTATTTCAAATCTCACTCTACTCACTTTCTTTCTTCGTTGCTTGGGCTTTTTGCCACGACTCGATGTAGCCTCTCTTCTTATTGTGCGTGTGTTGGGTGCCTTTCGTATTGCCTGATTGTATTTCTGTCTTAGCAAAGTGGCTGTGGCATTAAAATCGGCCAATTTTTTCCAACAGGTTTTCATGGAGCATGAACCCGAAACACCATGGCATTTGCATTTGTCCTTCATCATTGTGGAGACAGCTTCAATACCGACCTGCAAAAAAATCAAAAAAATATTAATTTAATATTTAAAAATTATTATCCCTTCCTCTGCTCACCTCAGAATCATGTCGTAATATCTCTGTCACCTCATCACTTTCTCCACCGCGCAAATCTAAAAAGCTACGTGTCACCCGCTTGCCATGTTTCAAATTGTCATTACAGCCACCCCATTCGAATGTCTGATCCGGACGATTGTGTTTACGTGGTCCACAGCTACACTTGGTCATACGTCCCTCAGAACAGGCACGCGCTATGGAATGTGTCATAGCTGCAGCTGTTAACGCATGTACAAATGCCGTTTCCTTATAGAGTTTTTTGAAAATGTTCCGTTTGCCACGTATTTCAATCGAACAATTCCACCGATCATAACGAAACTGATCTTCACAGTGTGTGGTGGCCAGTCGCCGAGCTTCACGTATGGTATCGGGTAAACCGAATTCTTTACGGCATTGATGATTTTGTCTTCGTGTTGCTGGCATATAACGGCAGGGACCACCCACTTGTCCTTGTGACGTAAAGACGGCCATAACCGTGTGTTCCGATATGAAATGTTCCTGTTCGCTGTAAGGAGAAAAATAAAAGTTGTTAATATTTGTATTAATTGAAAATCATATTTTTTATGCAATAAACACGATTATGAGAAACATATGGCTGTAGCCAAAATTATTACAATAAATATGAATTGCTTAAAATCATATAATTTACAATTTGTTTAAGTAAGCACTGATTTTCATTGTAAAAATTTATTTGTAAGGAGAAAAAAACCAGCATCTCCCTTTAATGGTATGGCGATTTTTGATTCGCCCTGTGTTAGCCAAGACAACCATCTCTTTATATGTTCTTGCTTTGGCTAACATACCACACATACCTTATTTTTAAACCTGTGGTGAGAATATTCACAATATATTAGGGAAGATTTTCTAATGATAAATATAAAATAATTGTAAAAATGTTAAATTATAAAAATTTAAATCGTCATTTTTAAAAATTATTTTTGATAAAATTAGCTTTTTTTTCAAATCGATAGGTGTGTATGTTGCCCACTATGCGGTACCAGTGTGGTCCGCGAATAATCGAAGTATTCAGACTTGTCAGAACGCCACCCTGAGAACTGTAACATGGTGTCTCCTTATAACACCTGTGGACCAACTTCATGACAAGACGAACTTCTTTCCCTTAAGTCTTCATAACAATAGTCGATCATTGCTGTACCAGCTTGGGTGCTTCTGAGAGAATTATACTAAACATCAAATATGGGATAAAACTCCCCGACCCAGGCTTGTCTTAACTTATTAAAATGAGCTTCTAGATCATGATCAAAATTGATTACAGATTGAATGCCGCCCTCGGAGGGCAGCGTCAGCTGCCTAGACAAACCAGAGTAGTTTTGGCCCAATTACGTTCAGGATGGTGCTATCGTCTTACTTCGTATTGGGTGCGGATTGATGACAACGTGCAGAATGTCAGCTCTCCATGTGATACAGGCTCACGGAAATATTCAATATTACTCGATCTACTGTCCATAAAATCATATCGAGGTACAAAACTGAGAATTGAATTTGCAACAAGCCGAACACCAGCGACAAGTGGTCGATAATCCAAAGCTAAGTGAACCTAAACTTGCTGGATTCACAGAGAAATATCTGGAAACGAAATGTTACCCTGAAACAATTCGAAGAATTTTGGTTAAAACCAGAAACCCAAAAACCAGAAAATCCGATTGGAGTTCGTTCATAAACACAATTTTGCTGATAAAAGCAAAGCAAAGTTAACTTGTTTGGGTCGGATGGACCAATCAAGGTATTGCGCAGGGCGAATAAACCGTGAACCCTAAGCTTTGTAATGGTATGGGGGTGTGTGAAAGCTGCTGGAGTAGAAAATCTCGTTTTTATTGGAGGAATTATGAATACGATTTATAATTAACACATTCTAAAATGTTGAGATGAAAAATTGGAATTGGAGAAAATATTTCAATTTTATCAAGATAATAACCGAATTTTATCAGAAATAATTGCCCGAAAGTGATTCAAACACCTCCTCAGTCCTCGGATTTGAATCCTATAGAGAACTTATGGAGTATTTTGGAGACAAATATTAGAAGTCATAAAATCTCAAGCATACCAAGTCTGGAAAATCAGACAACATTTAAATTTTATTAAGATAATGACCTCAAGCACAAGCTCCAGATCGTTAGAGAATGTATGCTTTATAATTGTCCAAAGGGGTTCAAAAACCTGCTCAGTCCCCGGATTTCAATCCTATAGATGCCGGCAATGTTAAAAGATAACATGGGATATTATACTTAGTATTAACCATCAAAAATATCCGTTTGTTAAAAAGCGTTTATCTTCGATACTTTTCACTGTGGATATTGAGACTGTGACCCAGTGTATATTTTTGTACAAATAAAAAAAATGTGTACTGCCATCTACAGCTTCATAGTAAGAGTTAACATAATTCAAATTCTATACTGAATTGCTTTAGCTATTGTGAATGCTAGCGATGTGTGTCTTAGCTAACCAAAATATTTGACGTTGCATATTTACCACCAGGGGTCGAATATACGATTTTATCGGATTTTACAATACGATTTTTATTTGTGTATTTTCAATATTATTATAAAGATTTTTTAAATATAATGTAGTTATTATCCAAGCCATTGATAATTCATATTCAATTCAAATATAATTCAATCTAAATATTTTAAAATGTGGTCACAAAACATGACCAAGTTTTCTTGATTTTAATAACACATATTGGGTAATTAATTTAATTTCGAATTTATTTATTTAGATTATTTTTTTATTATAGAATAGCATCGAAATAAACCTGTGAACACCTATTGAGCGAACAGGGTTTTTTTGTTAATCATTCGAATTAATTCCCCTCCCACACCCACTATGGGTATTAAATTATTCACTCTTGTTCGCAATTGATTTAATGGCATCAACGAAAGATACAAAACTTAAAATCTTGTAATTGAAAACATTTAACAGCAGGATAGAAATCAATAATAAAAATGTATATTTTATATACTACATGCACATAGAGTGTGAGGGAAAAATAAATGATTTCAATTGAAAATTTGCAAACATTTTTCTTTCTAATAAACAATGAAGAAATTTCGTTTTAATTCGAATGGAAATTACTTAAAATGAATGAATAGAGTATTATCTCTACAATTTAAGGTACCTAAAAGTTAATTATAAAATTTTTAATATCGAAAATTATCATGAATAAAAACAAAGTTGTAAGGTATTCAGAAGTGAATTTCAAAATCTAAATATTGAAATTTATCATTTCGAAGAACAACGGAATTAGTTTGGAAAATTTAAATCATTTTTTATTCTTGAATGAAGAATAATTCAATTCAAAATTCCTGCATTAAAGGTCATGCCTTCAAATATTGTAATTTAAAATTAATAAATTGCAATTTCAATTTCCCCTACAACAAAAACCATGGCTATAAAATTAGCTTTCAATAACCATTTGGTAAGCAAAGTAAATAAACAAAGATGAAAAAAAAACTGAGTCTGGAAGAACGAAACAACCACAAATGTCTAATAAAATTAACTAAAGATAAAGAAATTCTATTGGCAGAAATGATGCTGTTGATGGTCATGATTCTACTAAGCAATACATCCATCCAACGATCCATTCATTCCAAGCATCGGAAAATACATCTGTTGATGGCTGGCGGGCCAAGGCAAATGGCGTTGTTCTTTATATGGCTGATTCTGCGAAAAGAGATTTAAAATACGGGAAAATATGATCATGTTGCACAAAAAAGAAAAACACATCTCATTCTATCACCAGCACCACACACATATGCTAACATTTTAGAAAAAAATAATGCCATAACCTACAAAGAATATTAGCCAGCCATTAGGTCTGCTGCAGATACCACACACTCTCTCTCTTCCTAACACACAAGCAGAAGGGCCTTAGCAAATTAAATAAATTATTTTTTAAATAAATAACCACACAAATTCGGCTGAAGATTATTTCATAAGTTTTTTATGTTCGTCTTGTAGTTTTTTTTTCATTTCGTAGGTCAGGTTAAATCTCTAATTGACATAAATTTCATTTTGATGAGTTAGTATGGTTTCCTGTTCGAAATGGGTATTTTTAATAATAATTCCAATGAGTGGCGCTGTTTCGCCGCTATTTGGAACCAGTGAACAAAATATGAATTAGGATAATGTTTTTGTGTGTGTATAAATTTATGGGATCTTTAAAAAATCAAAAGCATGAAGAATTTCTTCGGGTGGAGACCAAGGTTTTCTATAGAAAACTTTGTGGAGACCAAGGTTTTCTATAGAAAACTTTGTGGAGACCAAGGTTTTCTATAGAAAACTTTGTGGAGACCAAGGTTTTCTATAGAAAACTTTGTGGAGACCAAGGTTTTCTATAGAAAACTTTGTGGAGACCAAGGTTTTCTATAGAAAACTTTGTGGAGACCAAGGTTTTCTATAGAAAACTTTGTGGAGACCAAGATTTTCTACTATAGAAAACTTTGTGGAGACCAAGGTTTTCTATAGAAAACTTTGTGGAGACCAAGGTTTTCTATAGAAAACTTTGTGGAGACCAAGGTTTTCTATAGAAAACTTTGTGGAGACCAAGGTTTTCTATAGAAAACTTTGTGGAGACCAAGGTTTTCTATAGAAAACTTTGTGGAGACCAAGGTTTTCTATAGAAAACTTTGTGGAGACCAAGGTTTTCTATAGAAAACTTTGTGGAGACCAAGGTTTTCTATAGAAAACTTTGTGGAGACCAAGGTTTTCTATAGAAAACTTTGTGGAGACCAAGGTTTTCTATAGAAAACTTTGTGGAGACCAAGGTTTTCTATAGAAAACTTTGTGGAGACCAAGGTTTTCTATAGAAAACTTTGTGGAGACCAAGGTTTTCTATAGAAAACTTTGTGGAGACTTTGTGGAAGGTTTTCTATAGAAAACTTTGTGGGTTTTCTATAGAAAACTTTGTGGACCAAGGTTTTCTATAGAAAACTTTGTGGAGACCAAGGTTTTCTATAGAAAACTTTGTGGAGACCAAGGTTTTCTATAGAAAACTTTGTGGAGACCAAGGTTTTCTATAGAAAACTTTGTGGAGACCAAGGTTTTCTATAGAAAACTTTGTGGAGACCAAGGTTTTCTATAGAATACTTTGTGGAGACCAAGGTTTTCCATAGAAAATTTTGTGGAGACCAAGGTTTTCTATAGAAAACTTTGTGGAGACCAAGGTTTTCTCTAGAAAACTTTGTGGAAACCCAGGTTTTCTATAGAAAACGTTGTGGAGACCCTGGTTTTGTATAGAAAACTTTGTGGAGACCAAGATTTTTTCTATAGCGAAAATCGTGCCTAAATTTCACCAAATAATACCCCACCTTAAACCTGTTTATGGTGATTCACAAGAACCCAAAATACACAAATTGTTATATATATTATTTTTAAAATCTTCAACTATATGTCTATGCAAATAAATATTAATATCAACAAAGATGGATGATGTTTTGCCAAATATACAAATTATGAAATGAAAACAGCAGCAGCAACTACAAGAAT